GGAGGTCACCCCCAGCTGTGGAGGGACAGCCGAATGGGGTTCTCGCGCCACCTGGGTTTCAAGGCACCAAATGTAAAGTTCGTGATGCAGGAAAACAAAGAGAATCAAGACGGTCAGATAAGGGAAAAGAGAAGGTTTAATCTGCATCCCCGGGCGAGACTCATGAGCCCCAAAGGCGGCCAGTGAATTCGAACCAACAGGGAGGGGGCACTTCTTTTTATGCAGGTGTTTGGTGAGGGGCGGGGGGCATGAGCTGAGGAAGTTCCCTCCGTGGGGGTTGGCATGTTGACCTGTTAGGAATTCCAGGGAGGGTCCATTATCTCTGTCACCATCTGCCTTACGGTGGCATGCATCCACTCCTGAGCTTCCCTTGGACCTAACACTATTCTCTGTCCGTGGATTCATTCTTCAACTCTGGCGGACAAAGAATCCAGGTTCCAGTTCAAAAATTCTGTTTCACTTGCACCACCAGACCAAGAAGGAGGGGCTGAAAATCAGCCTTGCACAGCCCTCAGATTTCTCCATGCGTCTGGTCTTGAAGCATAGCAACCTCCATCTTGGGTAAAAACTGCTGTTTGAAATGTTAACCCTTCTATTTTGGCTTCTGTAACCACTTGCTTGCTTAAATAATAAGGAAAAATAAGACTACTCCCATTCCAGAGAGACCATAAACTATGTTCCAAACAGAGTTGTCAGTGCTGGCACCAGGCCAGGCTTTGAGATATGGTCTCATGGCCCCTTCCCTACACACAGGATTTCTTTCTCAGAAGGTCCAGAAGTCTCATTCCAAATTTGGAAGACAAAGAGCTGGAAAAAGTATAAATAGGAAAGACTTCCTCCGTGTGGGGCTCAGAATTTAACAGAGATATTCTGTTCTGAGCCTGCTAGTGCTAGCATAATAAAAGACTCCAAATTAATTTGGCTTATTAAGGTGTCTCATGTCGGCTCACTAATTTACAATATAACAGTCTCAGCAGGGCAGGGCTGAAATACTCAACTATGTTCAGGTCCTAGCCCAGCTGGACAGGCTGAAATTTCAGCTCTCCTGCACCATCTTAACCAGCAGTATGGGCCGAAATGTCCCAGTCCTGAGCTAGTTCCCTGTGCCTCTGCACCCAACAGGATGGGGCAGGCCTAGGAGCTCAACAGGTTGGGGAAGGGGTGCCAACTGTGTGCATGAGGTGGGAGAGACCGTTCCTCACCACCAGCCCACAGAGTTTAATCACGGACAGGGTCTTTCCTTGAAGCCTTTCCAGAGAACAGAGGGCCCCTCAAAGTCACTGCTGGGTGTGAAACCCAAGTATGGCCGAGTCCAGAGCAAACTCCAGGCTGGTGCTGCAGCAATGGGAGCGCTCCTTCCCTAGGCTGGTCGGTCGGAGTCTCCCAGGTGGACAGGATCCCCACTGATTCCCACCACCTGCTGTACATGGGCTCCACTCCTGTCTCTGTTGCTCTGGGTTGGGGATCCCTGC